TGCTGGACAATATTAAGGAGAGAAAAGTCTGACTGACAAAAGTAGTAACTGTTTTAATTGGCTGTCGAATTCAGATGAGATATGCATCAGTGACGAAGTGACAAAATATTATTAGTGAAGCATGTGTAGAAACAATAGCAGTGTAGGTTCTCAGTTATCCAGCTCATAGTAATCTAAGGAGATTCGAAGGAAAACTGATGGGACTTCTTTAAGTTTCTTGAAGATGCTTCACCTCTCACCCGACAAGCTTTTTCAGCTCTAAGACCAAATGGCAGAGAGTCCCTGCAATAGCAGTGGTTACAAATCCAATGAGCAATGCAAAGGTGATTTCTGGCTTGTTATATTTGGTCAAACTAGGGTTCACAAAATAACCAAGCACAGATTTCTGTGTTCATTTTCCTCTATTTCTCCTGTCAGTGTCTGCAAATTGCTAAATAAGTAATGAGATACCTCATTTGTTTAATTACGGTGAACAGTTTCAGAAAACTTGGAATTAAAAAAAAGGAAAATTTCACTGTGTTATCTCTGAATAAAAACCTTTAATAGTGGACAGTTAAATATAGTTTATGACTACTAGAAATACTAAAATATGGCTCATGTGCAGAATCGAACTTCCAAATTTGTCTTAAACTTGTCTTAAGTGATCAAAAGTTTCATTGTGATCCTTTTGTTAAAAGTTCTCCTAATTAAAGAAGACTTCGCTGCATTGAAACAGATATTGGACTCATAGACCGATCTTCTCTTTTTACTTTTAAAGACAGGGATTAAGCCTCTCTAAATACTGGCTGTTTCTTTAGCTTCACAATGATCTACTGCTCTAAAACCGTGGAACAATTATTCAATACCTGCTGTATAAATTTAAATGCTATATCAAAATATTTGATGTTTTGATGTGAGCTTGACCAACGATGCAAAATGATAACAGGTGATAAACATCAGCTATAACTTGCCACAGAAAAACCCCCTGTTTGGGGTCGTCTATCTTTGTGCAAAATCGGAACATTTTTTGTCTTGCTTCGGTTCCTCTCTAATGACAATCATGCCTGTGTGAGAGCACAGGTGCGCAGATAAACATGCCCCTGCAGATCTAATGATAGCATTTATGACCTCTATGGCATTAGCGACTGAACAGACAAAAGGCAGTCAGGCTTGAAGTGGTGCAACAGTTACCGTTAGTACATTATGAGTGAGAACTGGTGGCAAACAGCCAGATGCTGAGTGCAAAGCTAGACAACTGAATGCACTTCAGCTCTGAGCATTTGTTGAAAAATAAAGCAGATTCACAGAAAACTGATGGTGGCATCAGTCAGATACTTTGAAATGGTTATAAAACGTTGATTCCGGTTACTTAATGTGGATATTTATTTTTTGCTTTAAGTATGTCTTGCTGCTCGTAAACATGACCCTGCCCACATTACAATAAAGTAAAGCAAGAGTGGACGAAATCTTAGTTTTAAAAATGAGTAAAAATAATGTCTTTTCACCAGATTAAATACTAGTTATACAATAATATTATTGATATAGTCATTCTGAAAATAAAAGTACAGCATATGGTGAGTTGTGTTGAGATAAAATGAGATAAAGATAAAATCTCTCATATTCACTGGTCCTTTAAATGTAACCGGTCGTCTTTGGCGTTTATTTATTTGGTATTTTCATATCTGCAGTATAATAGTTATTTTCTTTGAGATATATAATACCTTTCTCTTTTATTTAATGCCTTTAGTTTTTAGGATAATACTGAATGTGGAAGTACTGTCCATCTACCCTGATAGATGTCTGCAGCTATTCCACGCAGACTTTTTCCTACTTTTGCCAAAGTTTGTATGTAACTTTAACAACGATTCAAAAGTTGTGAGTCTTTGTCTCTTGTGAAACAGGGTTTCCACTACTGTAAATAAAATAGTGAGCCAGAAAGAGGGCTAACACAGACAACATGAAGTCCATTTTTTATTTTTTTTTTCTAACTGCAGTTTGAAAGTATACAACTGAACATCATGATTTGATTTCTGTTATGAGACTCATAAATAAAATTACAAAAAAATTTCACTACAAAAAACAAAACAAAAACAATCTACTGTTAGTAGGATGTAAAAAAACAAAACAAATCGTTATATTTTCACTATCAAAGGCACAACATTGACTTTATCGACAACATGGAGAAGAAAACCTGCAGCATAATTCTTTTATTTTTCCTTTTTATTTTTTTCACACTCCATCAGAGAACACTGAAATGTTACAAAGAGATGTGTCTGATTCTACATGGAAAGAAACGAAAAAGAACAACTTCTATATCAACAGACAGTGGCTATAGATTGGTGGCACAGCTCAACAGGAAACGTACTGCCACAGAAAGAAATAGCACGTTGTCGCTGGAAAAGACAAAGGACCTTTGCAAAGCTCTAATGCCAATTTTCTCCAAAAAAAAAAAAAAAAAAAAAAAAAAATTTATATACCTGACAACAATAAGAGACCAAAATAAAGAAAATAAAAAATAATAATTGGGCACCTTCTAAGATTAGGCTAAGATTAGGTGCTGAGGTAGACAAAAACTATAACCATTCAAATCATAATAAAAACACTATTTTCTTAATATAGAGCAACTTGACTGGCACTTGTGCTGTCACAACAATGGAGGAAAGAAGTAGCACAGACAAGCCAGGGAAAGACAGAGAGAGAAAAGCTTTGTTACATAAAAAGCTTTGTTATGCTTGGTCCGACAGGGCAATTGGTCCTCAGTGCTAATATAAAAAAATACAATGTCTTGGTGCTTTGTTACTCAAACAAGTTTAGTCTAGACCTCGATGACACATGCATTGCAACACTGCATGAAATGGCTACTTTGTTCTAGAAACACCACACCCAAACACAGAGTGCCAGGTCCAGGGATGCCATGATTCCTCTCTGACGAATTGAACATCCCCTCTTAAATGCTTTTTTGTAGCAAAGAAAAAGTACTTAAAAAACAAACAAAACTGAAGCAACAGAAGGGTAATACCCCGGTGCTAACCTACCCAAATGGAGGTTTCTTTATCATTTTTTTTTTTTACATTTTTTCCAGAACAATAAAATGTTCTGCTCAGCAAACCTGTTGCTGACAAAAAGAGAAAATTAGAATTAGAGAAGCAGACTCGGGGCCTCGTTTGCTCGCAAGAAAACAGAAAAATAAATCACAAAGCAGATCTCGTCCCCAAAAGTCTCTAATAGTTTCACAACTGCAGCACAAATTTCAGTAAATTTTCCCCATGTTTTGTTTTGTGTTGCTAAATAAATGCTTCTGGGAGCCAATCATAGAGCAGAGCCAAAGAACAGAAGCGAATGCACAATCCTAGTTGCTATTTCAATAGCATTAAGGGTTTATTGCAGTCCTTGAAAAAAAACAAGAAAAGAAGAGGCACTGCTCTATTCAGGATTAAAAAGGAAAAAAAGAAAGAAAATCAGGTCATTTTAGAGCGTCATGACATCCCTAGGGCGCTGGAGACACCATTTTTATTTTCTTCTGAAAATACAGAAACTAAGCAGATATAGATGGATATTTTTGTTGAACAATTTCCATTTTTAGGCACAAAGATAGTACAGAAACATCGGAGAAACACTGAGGGAAGAACTATATCAATGCCAATGTATATATATATTTTTCCCACAGAAAAAAAGTGGCATAGAATATCATTTATTTTGTATCTGATCTGTTTAGTGCATTTTTCCACTAATACACACCCACACGCACACACACAGTTACACACTCTTTCATGCACTCTTTCACCTGCACAAGAAAGTAGAAAACATTCAGAGGACGATGATAGGAATAATGTGACTGAACAGGTCTTGCATTGTGGTGTTCAGACTGAACCGTGACTGGGTATATTATAGTGGGTGGATATTATGCGAGGGTGAAAAGAAGCTCCCTCAAATCACAGTGTTAGAGAATAAAATGGCAAGACACCACGGGACATGCCATCCCTTCTTTTTTCTTTTTTTTTCAAGTACAAAAACAAAACAAAAAAACATGTCGACAGTCAAGTTTGATTGAAAAATCATGAATGACAAGTACTAATTGGTCGGTTTGGCCGCGTCCCCCTGCCGCCCCGCATATTATCATCTTTTTTTTTCTTCTTTTTTTTTTCTCTCTTAACTTTGTCACATACACACACACACACACACTCGTAAAATTTGTGGCGGATAGATTTAGTCCTTCACCTACAATGCAATTGACATCCAGAAAGCAACACTTATTATTACAATATGTTCACACACATGTTTTTTTGTTCAACAATATCAAAGAGGAGCAAGGCAAATAAAATGATTCACACCCAAAAAGAGAAAAAAAAAACAGGTTAAAAAAAAAAAAAAAGAAATACAAATATTTGTGCCCTGCTATAACCCTCCACAAATGGAAAAAGGACTGACACTGAATACAAAAATATCACAATTTTTATATATCAAATTGCCTCTATTGGCTCTTGTTCAGGAATACACTCATTTCTCAAGAGAGCTTGTCTGCTGAGAGAATCTCTATTTTTAACCTTTTGTTTTATGTGTGGTTTTTTCTCCCTCCTTTTTTGATTACCACTTCCAGTTCCAATTGTCCAACGCACTCTGCATCACTGCAAAAATGACCTGTCCTGGGTGGTTCAGCGTTTTTTAGACGAACTTTCTGGTTTTTTTTTTGTTTTTTTCACATTACAAAACTACAATTCTATTCACATATGTTCAAGTTTAGATTCTTGTTTTTAAACCCTCTTAAAAGCAATAGTACTTCCTCTTATTTGCTGTATCCCTCATCACTTAAGGCTTCAAAATTGCTTTTTTCCCCCTCCATTCTCTCTGCTCTTCTGTGGTTGGAGGTGCAGGTTTGGGGGGACTATAAGAGAAGAATAAACATCATTTGGCATTTCTCATCCTATCAGCCTCTACTTTGTTATCTCTCATCCTTTTATATACATTTTGCTTAAAAAAACAGACAATCATAAATCAACTTAAAAAAAAAAAGCATGAGATGAAACAATGCAAAACACAAATGCAAAAAATGTGCTTTTACCAAGAAAAAAACAAGAAAAAAAAAAAAAAAAAACCAACACGACAACTTAGAGGTAGCTTTTATAACAAATGACCAAACCTTCCAGCTCTTTAACAAGCAGGGTTAATAATACCAAGTTTGGTAACGAGTAATGCACAAAGAAATACGCAACATAAGAAAAAAACAAACAAATCTCTTCGCCGTGGCACTTATTTTTTTTTTCCGTGTACGCATTGCTTCAATCATGTTCGCAATGCACCTTTCCAACACACGCTAACTAACAAATAAAAACAAAAGAACTCCCCCAAAAAACAACAAAACAAAACGAATGAAACAAAAGGGAAAATTAAAATACACAAAAGGAACATGAGGTCACAAAAACGAGGTAATTCAAGTACAATGTGTTGAGATCAAACTCAAGGTAAATCATAAGAAAAAAACAAAACCCACAACAACAAAACAAGACGAGAGAGAGACGAAGTGCAGGGACAAAAACCACAGAGAAAGAGTTGATTTATTCTGTCATCTTACTGGTCGCCCCCTAAGCTGCTGGGCTGTGTCTCGTCCAATCAGTGATCTCCCCCTTCTTGGATATGTGATCAACCAGATACAACGCTGTGACGTGCAGTGATATTCATCAAAACTCCCAAGGTTCAACCATAATACCTGACTGCGTATACCGTAAAGGTCTAATGCTGCATTTCAAAGGTGTAAGAAAAGACTTTGCCGACTTGTAGTCAGAGAAAATGTTGGAGCAGGAGTTTCTCAGGTTATGTGTTTTTTTCCCCCCCCCAAGAGAACCAAGGTCAGTGTTACAGCTTAGCATGAAATATCACGCCTGCTTTACAGCTGTTACCCTTTTCCCTATGCTGTGTTGTAAACAGGTATCCAACACACATCCTTTTAGCTATATCTTTGCCAAAAGCCTCAGTGGTAATTCAAATCAGTGCAACTACATTTGGGAATATGCATCATCTGAATACAATATCTGTAACATAACGCAGGACCTGCCAGTACTCAAGTGGTGCACATTCCAAAATAAACCTCACTTCCACACAATGACCTGGGGCTCGTGGATGAAAAGGTGCGTAGCCCAGCAAGTCTTGCCTGCTGGAACGTAAGCATGCATGCTGTTAATGTTGGATGGAGAAAGTCTTCCAGTGTGACCCACTGGAAACTAATCATAACCTGGGAATTACTGACTGAAAGGCAGCATTAACCTGCTACAGTATGTATGCTTACATGGTAGTAGAAGCCCGCCTTACAAGCGTTCACATTCATGTCACTATGCCATATAACAGTCTTCAAACTGCCACACCACCTATGACAAACATTAAGGTGTGCAGCTAAGGCATCCTCAACATTTACAACTAGCAGGTAAAGTCACAGGACTCTCACAGACAGCAACCTTTTCCCAAGTCACTTTCCGCTGCTTGGATTTCAAATCACTCCGGTGAACTGACAGATCTCTTGCAGTTGAAGTGTTTGCGTGTCAGTCAGTTTATGTACTTTCTTGTTAGTGTGGGAAAAATGATAGTCATCTGGTTAAACGTACATGGATACAAGCAGTCCAGTTATCTATTGCTCAATAAGTGAATAGGCAGGGTTTAATGTGAAATATTGTAGCGAGTTATGAGCGGATGAAAAAAAAAGTATATACCTTGCTGACGTCAAACAGAGACTGTTGTCGTAGTTTGTTTTACTTGTGCAATTAAGCCGTAATAAACTACGATGCAGAGCAAAAAAGATAAAAAATAAAAATATATATATATGTATGTATATATATGATGAAAAAGTAACACAAGTTAGCCTGTGGCTCTCTGGGGAGAACCGTGAGTGGCCAGTTGTGACTCAACCTTCTCCAGCCCTCATCTGAAAGAGATGCAGAACGAGGAAGACTACTGAGAACACTTTCGACACTTCCGACAAAGAGCAGCGCTAGCATTTTCCCCACTCACAACCAAATGGGTGCTTGGTTTGCAGCATTAAATTAATGCTTCTACTCGTCCAGTTCAACTGTTTTCATCTACTGCATAAGCCTACCGGCTCTGCTGCTGATTCTCAGGGGCTATCTCACTGCCACCATTGGGATCTGAAGGTTTTTCAGACATGGACAGGATAACGGGCAGATTTCTGTGAAAACTGCTCATGCATAAAACAAAAAAGGTGACAAAACCTATACATCCTCTACTGGAAAAGGAGAAGGTTGCGTGTATGTCCCCCCCAAAGCTGTTCATTTACTCCACAGTATTAGTTTCTTCAGGATGCATGCATGTTAAAAAACATGTCTCAGTCTTCTTCTGAGATATTTTTTTTATGTAGTTCGTAACCAGAAAGATGTAGGTTTGCAGTGATACTTTGAGCATGAAAGCACAAAGTACCACTGCAGAACAAAACCCCCCCAAAAAGTTTTCCATTTTTTGAGCAAAACAAGACCTCAAAACGCAGTGAAGGCTCCCGACAGCATGGATGTAGAGGTTCAGATAGCCCTTGAGAATCTGCTTTCTCAACTCAGCAGCATCCAAGAAGTCACTTCCTTGCAGCTTGCTCACTTTATGGCGCTGCATGAAATGACCTGAAACAATAACACAGTTGCAGATGTAGTGAATGACCCGGTGAATCCGAACAATGGTGGAGAATTGATCTCCGTGTCCAAGACTTCCTCTTCTTAGCACGTTTGCCCCACCATCACCACCCTTTCCCCCCACCCCGCCCTCATCGCTTGCCTTTGCATGAAAACAAAAAACAGAAAACAAACCCTCTTGCTTTCCAGTCACTTCTCGTTGACATTCCTCGATCGTCAACACTCATGCCTCCTATCCGCTTTGTTACATTCCCCTTACCTCTCAACCCATCCCCTACCCTCTTCATTCACTTTCCTAGACTCAGACATAGCAGAGGTACAGGTAGGTCTTCTCTATACGCCAGTCTGGGGGGATGTCTTCGGGCTTGTGGCCTTTCATGTGCTTCTGCATGGCTGACAGGCTGGGGCAGTACTCCAGGCAGATGGTGCATTGGTAGGGCGAGGCGCCATTGTGGGTGCGCAGGTGCTTGATCATGGCCGAGTAGTCCCTGGATCGCTGGTGGCACAGCTTGCACTCGAATGGCTTCTCACCTAAAGATGAAGACAACAGTGTTAGCCTAAGTGTGACGTTAAACAGCAAATAAAGGAATTCAGTACTGAAATCCATTAGAGGGATGGAAAAACTGTACTAGTCTGTAAGATGTTACTGATAAGTGCATGACTTCTGCTTCTTTGCCTTAAAACTTATTAACTTTATTTAATGCAATGAGAAAAATCCTTGCTGTTCAAACTGCAGTAAAAAATGTGTGTATTTCTACAGCCAACGATTTTAAATTACATTTGAGTTATATATATATATATATATATTTTTTTTCTAACATAAGTCAGATAAACACACAAACAGCAAATGGACCAACAGGTTAGCAACTGTCTGAGCTGCTTCTGAGGATTCAGCTACTGTTCTGTGTCTTCAATCACCAAGGCCGCAGCAGTCAAAGGTATACTAGGTTATTTTGAATATCTGGATGTCAGAAAAATCTTACAGATTTTCAAGTTAAACATTGCCTCAAAAGAGGAGCTAAGGTGAAGGTGGTTCATCCCTGTCAGTTAGGTTTCACTACATGGTCTGTTTTGACCTTGTGTTGCCATCTTTATGTCTTTGGACAACAGCCAGACCCAAGATGTAATCAACCCAAATCTACCGACAGTTTAAACATGGTGTCTTTTGCACCAAAGAAGTAAAAGTTGTGGGAGAGAAAAAAAATCCCATCACCACTAAGAGATTTTTTTCTCTGTGTGGCTCACAAGAAACATTGACGCTATTATGATAATTGAACGATGCATCTAAAAAGTGACAAGTCAAAACCCAGAGGTGAAATCCCAAATGTCTTCCAGACGACACTGTGCACCAGTAAAAGATAATGGTAACTCTTTAAAGTCATTCTCAACAGCCTTCGATAATTGATACAAATCAGAAGTGAGAGGAGAATAAAAAGCTCCAAGTACATTAGTGCAGTTTTCTCACCTCTGAGAAATAAATAGAATACCCGTCAGGTCCAGTCAAAGTATCCCCTCACAGCAGCAGCGCACATGATGATTTGTTTACTAATTATTCTTACTTTAAAGGGATAGAACTGTTTCCATGTCATTATTTTATTAAAATACCCCTGTGTAAAGAGATTTTTGAAGGATCAAGGTTTTAGTTACATCAGGCTGTGCAACAGAAGAAAAAGAAAAGGAGATGTTCTGCTATTAAAACTAATATACATGGAATATTATGCCAGCAGTTTTAAAGTACATGCAGAGGATAATTTAACATATACTTTATTTGTTATTACTTGCAAAAACTGTAAAATTCAAAATTCAGCTCTTAGTACTTATTAGAGTGAGTAGCGGTAGAAATATGCTCAAAATGACCCAAATTAGAGAATACAAGAGTTATAAGAGACTCTCTAAATCATATCACCTGTTTACCTGTGATAAGAACCAGTCAGTACAATCAGAAGAAGAAAGAAATTCCAGGCGTATTTACTTTTATAGAATATGATCTAATCAACTAATCTACAGCACATTACAAGAAAATACAGCTGACGACACCGAGAACTCCTGCAAGTGTCATAAATCATAGTGCAACACTGCTTTCTTGCTGTGGGGGCTGCTATATTCCAGAGGCACATTTCAATTCAGCAACAGCGGCCAGCCTAAATGTGCTAAAGATTTGAGTGATGGCACGGAATAATCCACCAGCGCTCAAGCCGGCAGACGCAAATTAGACATGTAAATGCTGACCTTTACCAATGGCATTTGAAATGGGCTGTCGGAAGTGATCTGGCCCAGCGCTCGCTGTCACCTTTCAGCTAGATCTTTGCGCATGTGTGCTGCGAAACGTCCGACTTTGTGCCTCTGCTGCCCAGCCCGTCTGCTCCTTTGAATCCCCGGTTAACCTTGACCTCCACAGGGCCCGGGTTACGCTTCCATTGAGCCAATAAGCATAAATACAGTGTTGCAGGCCCCGCGCTTCTTTGTAGCAGTGTGGACACCTGCATGATGTTGATATTGATAACCAGACTGTAAACAGGGTCGCTTCAAATAACCAGCTAATAATGAATTGCAAATAGGGCCCAGGTATTGATCCGCCATTGGCATTTGGAATGTGTGGAGAGGACGGGTCGGGGAGGGGTTGGGTTGCCAATGTCGATGATTCATCAAGCAGCTCCCTTTTGTGCGAGGTGGCCTTTGACTGTGAGCTTGTCACTTGCTCTTGTTATCTGCTGTTGCTCTCCAGCTTAACGCAAAGCCCCCCTCCCCAACACAAAAGGCGAAAGGGTGGATGGGGGGGGAAGCCAATTATTGGACAGGCTGCCTTGATAGTGTGGCTTAACAGCTGGTTTATTGAATGGGAGATGGGAGGGTGCTGCTATGTGTGTGTTTGAGAAAAAGGGATGGTGAGGAAGCATAAACCTTTGGCTGTGTGCCATCCTGGTGAGCACTTGTGGTATCCTCGCTCACTCTGCTACATAGCACGCACTCATTCTCCAGGGCACCTAGCTTATCACTGTGTCAACATCTTTATGGGGCTCTAAATATACTAAGATCAATACAAAGTCTTCTGAGACATTCATCTACTGTATCTCAGCAACAAAGATATTCATCTGGTTTGGTCTGCGCCTTGCAACTTGGATTTTCTAGAAGAGAGTCCCTTAACAGGCTCCCCCATCATGCACCATATGTTTTAGAACACCTCATTACTGCAGTTTATGCTCTTTCTGCAAGTGAGGTGAGAAGAACTTAGTACAGTAAAAGACTCAAAAGCAAGTGTAAAACACTAGTCTGGCCTTTTTCACATAGCTGCTATCACCTGCAAAATTAATTTGTTAACATATTGTATCTGAAATGATCTGGCATCCATTTTTGTCCTGCCCAAGTTTGGGGGTCACTGGGCCTCTACAGACACCAAAACATTTGTTAACTGAGTATATATGAAAAATGTTGAACAGGAAGTTCTACAGTTTTTTGCTCTGAAACAAAAAGCTAAAGTTGTTGTGATGCTACACTGTGTTGCACACGATAGATTTTCATTTTCTACCGCAAACAACACAGAATCAAGTGAGAATAAATAGTTCCGAATGCTTTGATTGTTATCCATTATCGCTAAAGCCTTTACTTATTTTGGTCACAGTACCTGTGTGCACACGGTAGTGGGTTTCCAGCTGGTGCTTGAGGCTGAACTTCTTCCCACACCCGTTACATTCATAGGGCTTCTCTCCGGTGTGGATGCGCTTGTGGCCCTTCAGCGTGCTCTCATCTCGGAAGCAGCTCCCGCAGAACTCACACTCAAATGGGTGGTCCCCGGCTAAAATGTGGAAAGAAAAAATAGGACACATTCACACAAACTGCTGATGACATTGTATCATAAAAAGGCTAAAGACTGCACTGGTTGAGCTCGTGAAAAGATAGCTCGAAGGGTTAATGACAACTCAGTGCAAATGACAGCACCAAGAAGCTTAGGTTTTGTCTTTATTTACATGTACAATTCAAGTGTTACTCTAGTAATTGTGACAAAGAAGAACGTCAAATGTCTGAAAATAGCTTCCACCTTCAAAAAAAATTAGAAAGCTACTGTGAAGGAAGCCGCATTGCAAAATGTTTTACTTTATCTGATTATTTTGTCGGGGTTGTGCACAATGCAAGAGCAGCATGCAGTATCTTCCAATGCGTAGCTACATAAAGCCTTTAATAACAGCAGACAAGTATAACCCATCTGTTGTCTTTGTCTACAAATCACCTGCGCTGTTGTTTTGCTTTGTCCAAACCCTTAAATAATTGTAGCCTGTCATGGCTGCTCACCAGCCTCGAGATGTATTATTGACCATGCAGACCCAGTGTCACAATGCACTAATGGATCACCTAACTAATGTGCAAACCTAGGATAAAGAAGTGAGTTTGTCATCACAGAATCTATTATCCTTGGATATATATGTGTTTAAGCAGACCCAAATTCAGGCATTTGTCTTTAACTGGTCTAGTCGTAGAGTCCAAATTACTCTGCATCCTCGATCACTGCCATGTAGCCGGTCCTAAAACACAATATTTGTATTTTAGACAGTGTGTCATCATCACGGTTAAATGACAATGCCTAAAAATGTAAATGAAGATAAATGTACCATGTCTTGACATTCACTGGCAGCATGTTGACTGGCTTATATTAGCCTCCTTACGCCCCGTCTCCACCCTTCCTTAATTTTTCCTTAGATAGCATCATATTTCCTTCCTGAGACATCGCAGTTATTGTAGGCATCAGACTGCTGGCGGTTGTATAGCATGCATGCTTTCAGAAATGAAAATGATAACATTCTCCCCCTCATGCTGCCACTGCACAGGTCCCCACAGGGCTGCTGTAATGCATATTCAGATGTCAGTGATCAGGGATATTATGATTTGCAGGAGCCTCTCACCAGCAGTTCAAAGACTAATTGTATTTCCGTGTTTGATGAGGGGCTGCTTCTTGCGTCATTTGCTTCCCCCCAGTGTTACACTCTCCATCCAAGTAATGTTGTGGATATTTATTAATGTATTTCACTCTACCGCTGCAGGTTTAAGTCACCATCAGTGACCTATGCCTTTCATTATCTGCCTGTCCAAGTAGCAACGTGCCAGAGAATAAATTGCATTTCTCGTTATGTGCTGCTACCACTGCCCCGCTGTTAAGAGACTATTTCACTTCCATCCTGCATATTTTATTTGAGATTTTATGTATGCACATAGAGTATGCACACATGTAACTGGTTTATTTAGAAGGAGAGACAAAGAAAGGATGGGAAAGGAATGTAAACTGGATACTCTTTAAATGTTGGTCACGTGTCGGCTATGTTATACTTTTGGGGAGGGAAATGTTTTCAAAGCCTTCTGATGCTGGATGCATTCCCATTAAAGGGAATGCTGGGGATTGGAGGGGGTAAAGGGGGAGGGATAAAACTGAGACAGGGATGGAGCAGGGGATGTGGGTGTATATGGTGGCAGTGGTGGGGGCTGGGCAAAAATCAATAAAAGTGACAGTCTTTATTTGTCTGCATGAAGTTATCAGTGGCTCCCGCTGTAAGACATTGTGCTCTTTCTAGCGTTTCAACCACAGCAGAGATCACAATCCATCACAGAGCTCGGTGGGCTTGCACGATGCTGCAAGAATAATAATTGAGCTCAGATTCACCTGCCTTTAATTAAGGCCTCCGATCAAACCAGCAAGTGGGATGCTAATACTCGAAGAATGTCTGTGGAGGGCTATTTACGTTTAGATGCGTGTTTCTGTGCTAACGTGTGCTGTTGGCAAACATCAAAAATCTTCCATTAGTAGGAAAGAACTTGATTCATTTGATAATATAATAAAGGATTTCTGCACAATACAGATTTCTACACAATATGTATTCTGTATGTTTGTGATGGTGAGTTAGTGCTATTTAAATTAAATTGGAAAACACAATAAAGAGTTTTGGAGAGTGTCCATGATCTCTCTTATAGCTTTGTAAATGATCTGAAGCTTAGATTTGGTTTATAAATCACTTCAATTTAACCCATTTACACTGACTTTATCTCAAGTTACTGTAGACATTTATGCAAATCTTACAAGAAATAACAGCAATAAACAAAAAGCAAGAAGAAAACAACCTCAAAATCATATTTGACAACAATGCAAAACAAAAAAAATAGTTTTCCTATACCCAAACACACAAATCAATGCTACAGTTACTGCGCTAAAGTAAGGGTGCCTCTGTTAGTCTGTGCTGGCTACAACTGCTTTAGCTATATATAATGAATAGACAACAAATATATAATATTCGGGCTTAGAGACCCAGTGTAAATCTAATTAAGGAGCTTCTGGTATCAGCAGAAGCTAAAAAATAACCGTGGTATAACATACAGAGGGGGTTCGGTCTCACTCAAGCACCCTGTTGCTGGATGCTCATCACGCATGTTATCTCCCATTGCCACTCGGGGACGCCAAAGTGCAAAGTTGCACTGCAGAGTTTTATATAAGTCGGACACAATTCTGTAATCACATTGTGAGAATGTAAAGGAGCAGACAAGGCTTCATTTTGTCAGGATATATTCTCATGGGAGGCGGAGAATAATAGGAACACGTCCTCCGTCCATCCCAAATCTGCTACTATTACTTCCCCCATCTCTCCATCCTTCCATTCTTGCTTTCCTCTTTATTTTCTCTCCATTTCTCCATCCCTCTGTGGTGTGACCACATGGCAGGGACGCGACAGATGAGGACCCGGCAAAGTGAGGTGGAACCACAGCATGGTGACTGAACCCAAGGGTGCCCCCGAGCATCACCACCTGCGTCTCCTGACCCCTCCTCATCACCTCCTTTGACACCCCAAAGGACTGCTGAGGGTTCCTGTGCCCATGGGCACACGGTGCGTGTTCATTATATACGGTAAGAGGCTGTAAATCACCAGGCTCCATCACTGCCAGGACCAGAAACTGCCTCATTCTCTCTCTCTCTAGATTCAATTCAGCCCTCTCTCGCTCTCTCTCTCTTTCTGGCTGTAGCACTATCAAATACAGCTGCGAACACAAAACACCCCGCCACAGCAGACAGCAAATTGGCCCAGAGTAAAAAAAAAAAAAAAAAAGGGAAAAAAAAAACAGACACTTACACACAGACAGTGCACAACAACAGAATATTAATGAAGGTCTGGTCTGTAAAGAGAGAGTGTGTATGTCTGTGTGCATGTGGTGCCGGGGAAGAAAAATAACACAGCTGCTATGACTGCCACTTTTTATGAGCCAACATTGTGCATTTGTGCGTGAGTGCTCGAACCTATACTGTACTACATGCGCGAAATAAAGACAAAAATAAATTTAACAGATAGGCAACATCGCAGTAAGAATGTGCAATAGGATGTTAAGGGGAGGTAATGAAACCGCAGGTGGATGGAAGAAAATGAAAACACAGTGATGGAGGCGAAAGAGAGATGGCAAGATTAAGATGCTGAAATAAACACCATTAAATCAGGTTGTTTTTTTTTTCCTGCTTCCTCGTCCTAAACGGTGATCCAGTGTCAAAGCCCGCACCAGCAAGGCTGCGTTCAAAAGATAAAGCTGCAGACAGGTAAAATGAAGCACGCGTAATGAATGTCCATAAAAGTGCTTTTGCTGCTTTCTGCTGTCAGCTGATACAACCGAATAGTGAGTCAACCAATAACCAAGCAATATCTAGAATGCTTTGTATGGAAGATGAGCTGCCATTGTCTGTCCATAAAAATTAAGGTTGAATACCAGGAATTGAGGTTTTGGTATTTACTGGGGATTTTTTGTCAAAACTGAGCCGTGCTTCTGGGAAAATACCTGCCAGGAACCAGTGCATCCATGATACATTTGTGTGCTGGAAACAACTGCGCGCACTGGAACAAAGACACCTCATCCAAACCTCATTTACCACACAACTGTCACACCTAAACGCCAAAGTCTGCCACTGAAAAGCCATTATTACGGTAATATAATATGGATCAGCGTTTCTCCTGCAGTGTTTTGTTTTCAATTACTTTCCATGTTTCAGTGTCTGCCTTAAGTCCAGATGAGAGGAAATACAATTTTTCCAGGTCTGAATGAAGCGGAAGGCTAAATCTGTAAGAACAGCACACCCTCCGAAAACAACAAAAACAGATCAACCATCACTAAATCAGAATAAGAGAACAGACAAGAAGAATGAATTAATTTTGTGATTTAACTTGGCATATAACTAACTGCTTTTCCCAAAATTAGAAAAACAAAGAGAAAAAAATGGCGGCATGTGAAAGGTTTTTCTCCTCCCTTTGCAAAGCAGGTTTTGTCAACAGGGACACTGTTGTGCTGCTTTAATATATAATGCAAGTGTAATATAATATAATATAATACTTACATGAAAATATACAATGATGTCACAATTATTATAATATATGCTTTTTTAGATTTAAATTTTGGAGTTTACATGAAACAAAAATTCATTTTGGTTTTTTATTTTAAAGCACAGTTTTTTAAGGAATCATTTTTAAATCGAGAGAAAACCTATAGAGCTGAACCTTCATTCAAAAAGTAATTTACACATATCTCAGATCTTAAATTTAAATGTGTTCAGTGATGAGTCTTTATTAATCCAGACAAAATATGACACCAAATGGAAACATCTCTTAGTCACTACTTCCATTTATCAAAGTAATTAGTTAGCAATTACTAAGCACTGTTAGCTTTTGCAATATGGATAAACTGTCTTTGATAGCGTATGCCATTAATCAGCATTAATGACAACGGTTTTGATGTTTTTATGACCAGAACTAAAACTATAGAAGGAAGAGCCAATGGTTCCCATTTTATCTGCTTTTTGGCGCTTGCATAAAGTTAACTTGAAGTAAATAAATAAAACAAATGCACATTACTGCAGAAACTTTGGTTGGTTTAAAGATTTCCTTTCCAATACATGGCAGCTTTCTTTATGCAATTTGCTTTTAATCACTCAAATGTCTTGAGCTGAGCTGACTTACAGAATCCAGACGAGAAAAGATCCTAGCTGATAAGAACATACAGACGGACATAATTTATTTACATTTACAGACTTACATTACTGCAGCTTTGCCTCTAGGGCTACATTCAGACAGGCTTAACGTCTAATTTATCTTTACAGATACACCCCTTTGCATGCTCACTTAATCTATATTTCTTTTTGAATGGAATATTCTCCTAGAAAATACATGCACAAAACAAGCGAGGATGGCACTTTAGTTAAGGTGTAGATCTAACGTTTGATACAAGTGAAAATAAGTTAATTAGGGCGTTATTAATTGAATCGTTTCCACATCTTAACCCAACCAACCCTTTTATGGGTTCTGCATGTTTGATGCATCCGATAAAACTTGAAAACACAACACTGATACATTAAGGAACAAATAGCAAAATATAAAGAAAAGAATTAGACAAAAATCCGAACTTGAACTTTGCTAGGTGAGAGTGCACGTGTCTCTGCATCACATGAAGGTAAAGTTATAAGGCTGATTCTCTAAGGTGGATACGCTGTCTAGCTGTCTGTTTTTAAGCACTATTTTTGCCTCGTTACCAAGCAAAGTGTGAATGAGATTATTAACATCAAAGTGTAAATGCAGAGGAACACCATGCCTCTACTTTTTTTTTTTGGAGGGTAAATTAGACCTATTTCTGGCGCCTATGATGGCTGTGCAAGTTGCTGACTTTATAATCCCCTGACAAAAGGCTCTGCATCATATTTAAACGATTGCTTTCACGGCTGGCTCATTGTGATTTAACACACGCCCACAGTGGGATGAGGTTCAAAGTGGCAGGAGGCTGCAAAGTCTCATCTGCAGCTCCACTGACGAGCTGAGGTGACATTTGCGTCGCCCGGGTGGGCAGGTGGATCAGAGACGCTGCATGTGTCCCCTCCAATGTCTGGTAGATAGAACAGATGTGTGCACCGCTACTGTACAGGCGGCTCAAGCAGCCACGTCCGCCTCCCCCCCCTCCCTCCTCCGCCACCTCAACCCCCCCCGGCTTCTGCCACCATCACACACTAATGGTGTATTCGCCTGACTTGTAAATAGGGCCGACTGCTCTCATCTCACTGCCTTTCGTTTCAAATATTTATCCGTGAGCCGGTGAGCTAAATCGGCTCTGACAGTGAGACTGTTATTTAAGGTCGCAGACAGGCGGCTGGCTAAGAGACAGAGAGAGAGAGGGGGAAGGAAAAAAGCGTCCATCCCCTTGCCAGTGAAATGGGATTCATTTCCATGTGTTCATATTCTGTCATGGCTACGGCTTTTTTCTCTTTACTCTGAATAGCCACATCCGTCAGGCTACCTCTGCTCCCTCGCAAAAATGTATTAGTATCCTGGCCTCATCTCAGTAGAGAGCCAACACCGTGAGTATTACAAGTTGACAAAAAGGGGGGAAAAAAAACAAACAAACAAACCAAAAAACCCAACAACAGCAACAACAAGAAAAAAAATAGTTGCTGTAAATACACTTTTTGTGACTGCTGCAGAATTCATTTTGTGTTGACCTGAATTAATACTGTTTATTCAGATGAGCAAAAACAGCAGCGTAACAGGAAAGTGGTAACATAATTCACTCAAATTTGCTACAAACAAAACATGAATTCTTTATTTGTATACCTATATTTGTCGATGGCAACCCTACGCTGGCTGTGCTGTACTAGCCACCCTATCCCTACGTGTTGTTTGAGAATGAATTATATTTTATTTTATGCTAAAAATGAACTCAGATGACCTGAATTATGGGACACTGCTGGACATTATACTAGCCTCCATTAAACACACACAAAAATTAAGAATATGTACCGTTTAGGTAGAGCATCAGCTGGAATAATAATAAATGTAGATTTTATGGAACCACAGGGACTGCACGTCTGTGGTCTAGTAGGTGTGGGCATGCACGATAAATAAAACGGAAATCTGGCATCAGTATGAGCTGGGTGGAAAATGTATTCTGCCATTATTAATTCCTACTAATCATTTCTCCAATAGTCAATACTTTGGTGATTACTAAGGCTTCCACCTGAAAGTCCTTTATCTACATACACGTGCTCCGCTCCTGGCTAACTGATAAGAGAACTGGATATCTGATAGGGAGTGATACTGTCACTACCATTCATATGGGTCTATGTACCTTTTCATTCAGGCATCCTATATGTGATGAAGGTCCTTTGTTGTATGACGAGCTTAAATATGTGTAAGTTGTATGAGAGTTCATGTATGTATCGTATTTGTTGCCCTAAAGAAAAGGAAATAAAGGCAGTGGCATCACTTCTTTTACTCTCTCTTATCACACCCAGTTGTCCTGGACAGTGAAAGTTAAAACTCCCATCCTAAAGTAAACACACAGCAGCTTTTGGACTTGAAGAAACCTTAAAAAGTAAAAAAATACAGACTCTGTGCACATGAGTTAGCATGTCATTCATGGAAACTACTTAGAAGTTAAAGATATCAACTACTTGTTAGTGCGCAATGCCATCCATTTTATTAGAAGGATTTGAGTTGTTTTTGTTAAATACGCTAAGGAAATGAATCAAAAGGCTAAGCTGTATAAGTGCACTGATTTAACAAAACAAATGGCTGCAGTTGTCAGGTCTTCGTGTTTCATCTACTATATACTCAAAGTTTTGGAAGGTGACTGTTACTCAGCTAGGAATTACAGGGACTAGTTCTGGATGTGCTTCCTTAGCATTAGGAAGGAGGTGGTTCAGACATCTAATTATGATGAATCCTACTTTTGGAGGTATTTTGAATTAAAATCAAAGCAGACTCTAGGATACAGAAAAAAAGAGCAAAGGGATTACCTTTCCGACCTGGTGTGGGTACATGCGGGTCGCCCAAGATCAAACAGAGAATGTATTATGGACTACTGCACTTAATTTGTTACAGCATTCGCATATTCCAGACCAAGAGAAAAGGCTGGATATGAATAGACAGATAACGCCCCATGGAACACCTCGGTGAAATGATATCGCCGCCTTATCACCACAGGCGGCTTTCACTGACCTGTGTGTGAGCGTAGGTGACGCTTGAGTGCAGTATGGCTGGGGAAAGTCCGGTTGCATTCGCTGCAAATGTAGCTGCGAACTCCGGCATGGACTTCCATGTGCTGCTGCAATGCTGTCTGGGTCTGGAAGCGCTTCCCACAAAGCAGGCAAAAGATGGCCATGTCCGAGCCTGCGGAGCAAAAAACACCGCAAGTTAATTCGAGGCAAACATTATTTATTAAAAGTCATCTGACCTCACGTTTCTTGACTTGTCGCATGTCTTTTTGTGTATCCATTCTTTTGCAATTAAAGGGATGAATATGACCTTATAGTTGCTTGTGTTAAAAAAAAACAAACTTAGATCCAAGTTGTGCAGTGGTTATTTCAGGAAGAATAAAGCACTGTCACTACGGAGCTATTCAGTAGCACTTCAATGTAGATCCAGAGTGACAGCCAAAGCCAGCTTTTCTCAAACCAATCACACACGGCTGTGTATCCTTACAGTGATTAAAATACAGGATAACAACACAGGTATGATGTCGAGAACTTTAGCACATCAAATTTGAATGAAGAAAAAGAAAAGAACCCAGGAAAACAAAAAACATTTTCACAAGTGCATGTAAAAAAATACTGTATTTATAGGATTAAAGTTGCATGCAGCATTCATGTTTTAGGGTGGGTGTGTAGAAAGATAAAGATCTCCTATGCAATATTTCAATCGAATCTTGACTCCAGCGAGCACTGTGCATTTTTCTCCAGCAGAGATAAAGAGCCCACAAACACAGCAGAACACACGCACACACACACAAACACGCACACACACACCCAACTGCACGCTCCTTTGAACACACTCCCTTCACACTTTTTCAATTACCAGGCTGGGGAAAACTCTGGGGAAGGACTGAGTGTTTGGAGCTCAGTTTCTATTTCATCAGTCAATAACACATCTTTGGGGCAAAGCTGACACTAATTTAAAAATCTATGAAGAGCAGCCCGCCTCATGTTCATAACCACTGGAGGAGGAGGCGGGCCCACGACAGCCTCCACACCAGATCAATCACTGTCTCTGCTGTTCTACACGCTAAAGAACCGGGATGAAGGGAGGGAGTATATTGCTGGAGAATGATGATAGGAGGAAGGATAGAAAAGAGTTGCTGGAAAGCAGGTAAAGAGAGGAGATTTCGGTTTGTAGCAGAAGAAAGTGATGCTGAAGAGCGAAACGAGGAAAAAAAATTCTCACTTTGTTGCAAGTAGTGGAGAAAAAATAAATATTGACAAACCTTTCCCTTCTGACTTTCGGACTGTCTCTATTTCTCATTTTTTCTTGTACATGAAAGGAATCAGGCTTGTCTACAGGAGTGTAGAGTTTTCATTAACACCGTGGTGAGCACTCATGACTGAAAGCCCGAGGTACTAATCTTCCAGCCCTACATGTGATGTCAGTTATATTCATGCTCCTTGGAGGATAACTCCAAATGTGCTGCTGACCAACTTATTCCCCCCCAAACACAGGGCAGCGTTTTTGCAACCTTTTGCTTTTTAATTTTTCCGAGCATATTCATGCCACCTTGAGGATCACCCTTTGGAAATTAGCCACTTCTTAGCTCAGAACATCTATTTATCTATCTATCTATTTCCTACATCTACATCTAAACTTACATCTAAACTTGCTTGCTCTTTTTTCAATTCTGTCTTCTTGTCCTCTCTGCGTTTATCATTGAAAAGGCCACTGAAGAGGCCAATGAATGCCTATTATTGCTTTTAGAATCCCTTCAGGACATTTCAGGTACGATAATAGCTTTGACTGACAATCCAGGTTTTAGTCACTTCTCACCTTTTTCTACCTCACTCCTCCTTCTTTAGCTTGTAATCCATCTAAGGTCTGGCTAACTCAGTGATCCTCCATAAGCACAATACTTCTTCCTTTAGGCTATATCAGATCAATCACAACATTCAGAGTTGGACTGAATATGTAAAAATAAAGTTCTATTATTGAAAGAAGAAACTAACAATGGTGTAAGTGCACAAGAGGTGAAATGGGCATCAGAGAAAATGAGAGAATAGTGGACTTGGGGGTAGGGTTGGGTGGAGACTTTGGCCAAAGATCAAGAATTAGAGGGAAAAAAAAAAGGTTTTGGAATGTAAAAGGTCAGCAGACCTCTGACCTCAGGTTTAGGCCAAGGCATGGTGGAAATCTGAAACCCAGATACCAACACACACGCAGACAGACACACACAGAAAAACAAAGCAGTGGAACAAAAAAGTGGAAGCACCGCATGAAAAACACGACTTTGAAGTCAGGGCAGTTACAGTGGCGCGGCGCATTATGGTGAACAATATGCATCACCAAAGTGTGTATCAACTTTAAAAGAGCTCTGACAGTGACTGCTTTTATCAAAAGCAATACAATCTAGCTGAGAACACTGGAACAAAGATGGTTAGTACAAGCAAACCACCAGAAAGTGATGGACGTTTAAACATGCTGCTCTCTAAACACCACACAAGTAAATAATCAAAAATGACCACATATTTATGCAGTTTTTGACTTTCTGAGCCTCGAAGAGCTGCTATTAACTAATGTTTCAGGCATTTTGCCAACACTAAAGCATCTTATTACAACCCACATTTACATGTAATTGCCATCTCTATTCATTTTAAGATACAAAGCACTTTAGTGCCTGTTGTAGCTCCGACAGCAGCAAAGGAGGAAGTCCAATTATTTTTGCAGGGCGGATGTTGTGTTGGGTAGATGAACTGATAAGATTACATGCACTTGTATTGCAGATCGATATTTGTTGCTTAGTTAATGCCGTTTCTTCTAACCACAACCATTCCTAGAATCCTGCATAACAACTGCATATTTACTACTGCGGGATCACGCAAGGCCCCTAGACCTTAACAAACTAATTATTTTAAGCCAAACCATGTGGTGTTTTGTGCTTAAACCTAACCAAAGGTTAGCAATGTTAGCAAACTAGCTAACGAGCACAGAAATGATTAATTTTCCTGTTAATATGTTTCTATGGATCTCATTGGAGTGTAGGAATACACCAACTACAGTAAGACTTTCTACATCCTATGTTTAATTAAATGTGGGAAAAAGTCCAACTAGTTCCAGAACTTTAATAACAGTACAAATAACATCATAGAAATAAATGGTTTGACTAACCAGCCAGTACAGAAAGTCCATCTGACACCAGTAAGTAAAAAAAGTCTTTAAGACTTTTTCCACAAACTGCACGTTACATCCCAGATCTTTCACCTATGCTGCTGAGTCTATGTACTGTAGGAAATTGCTTCCTCCTTGCTATCGTTTGCCCTCCTTGTCTGCAAAGCACAGTTTGTAGCAAAGTGCTAACAGTGATTACTGTTAGATAAAATTAAGCGGTCCAAACTTCAGAACAGGGAATAATTGTGTGTTGCAGTAAAGTGAGTAAAAGGCTTGTCAGCTGCTGATAGATGAAGAGAGCAGTGGAGAGATAAAAAAGGAAGGAAAGGTGGGAGAAAGGTAGTTGACCCAGGAGGTCCATTACAGTGTAAAATTGAGTCAGCCCAAAGTGACACCTGAAAGGAGGAGCTGTGGAGCCAGAGCGGTGGAGGGTTCTTAGTCTCAGTCCTGTTTGGCTGTTTTGGAATAATTTACCTCCTTTAACCAGCCTCTCTACACTTCTCGTGCCATCTATTTATAAAGGCTTGGGCAGTTTGTGGCTGTTTGTGTGCGGGGCCGCAGCAGTGCCGGTAGTATCTTAATGGGTCTGGAGTGGCAGGGCTGCTGTTATTTAAGTGGGGGATGGACACAGGCTGGTAATGGAGAGGAATACCCCGCGATGGGAGGTGACAGTGGCCGGATGGGCAAGGAGCAGAGAAATGGCCTGTAGCTAGATGCTTGCCATTGAGGCTGGCGCTTCCAGCAGCAGGGTAACCACCCACCACTCACGCACCTATTCAGAAAAATTATCCATCTTGATTAATGGCTTCAAAAATTATCAGAAATTCTTACAGTTGTCACCTGCATAAATCTGCATAAATCAACAAGAGCCGTTATCACAGGTGAACTGAGCTGTAGTAATCTGAAGGTCGGAAGGTTGCTCCTTCTAACCCTGGCTGCTCCACTCTGTGTGGCAATGTATCCTTGGGCAAGACGCTGAACCCCTAGTTGCTCTCCAGTGTGCGTTATCTTAGTTTTAATTGTTCCAGTGTGTTGAAAACAGTGCTTGCATGAATGGGTGCAAATAGGCGAATGACACATGTTGTATAAAATACTTTCAGTGCTCGAGCAGTGAAACACTATATAAGAATCAGTCTATTTATAGGAGACTCTGGCTGGGACATTGTATGAAGTTTCCTTTTCTCCATACATTTAGCAAACCACAGGAAATCTGCTTCAGACATGTGGCCTCTACTGGAAATACTCTGGATTAGGCAAGGGTGGTTTGAGTGTTTGATACTGGACACATGGTGCTCATTCATTCTCTTCAGAGTTTGCTGCACTTGTCTCACACGTGCAGACATCACACTGACTTTGCATCAGAGGATCTGGCAGGTTAAAGGCAGTTTTAATGTCTGATCCGGATAAAAGGGACATTTGCATTCTCACAGCTCTGCAGCTCCGTTGGGTAACGTCTAGAAAAGTTCAGATCTGAAGTGCATGTATGAAAACAGCTTAAGACTGTTCCTATAATTCTAGGTTATAGGTTCCACCACGGTGGCCATTTGAATTAAATGTGGAAGTGACAGAATGCAGCACGACTGAGGACCATCAGGATCTCAGAACATTTTGAGGACTCTAAAGCTTGAAGAAATGGATTTTGATGAGTGGTAAAATGTAACTACACACCTGAAAATCTCCACGTACACCTCAAGGTGCTGCCACTCACATACTCTACATAACAGCAGCCTATGCTCCTCGATTAGAAGCTTAACAGCTACCTGGGATATTTGCAACGACTCGCAGGCGTTTTTCGAGACAAAGCATTAAAAGTCCTTATGCTGGTTTAAATCCTTTCTGAATGCACGTTTCCAGGACTGTAGCTGAGAGAGTTAAATGCGTCCTGACTGTGGCCTGCAATGCAGCGTGCTGAACAGAGGAACTGCCAGAGTTAATGAGGCAGAGAGCAGCGGGACCTCAGCACAAGGTGTTCAATCACAGGCCATTACCGCAGCCCTCAACCTCTGTTACTGCTTGCTCTT